GAGCCCTCTCTCTGGTCTCAAATGTAGTTACATGAAAGTGATTTATCAGAAGTTCACGAATCTTGACATATGACAGAGAAATAGGTTGATCTGGAAACGACAGAGTCTTCACTAGGCTATATGCATCTAGCCCAATAGCAGTGATGAAATGTGCTGGTATTTTGTCATCCCGAACATTCTTTGAAATGCACCACGCATCGAAGCATTCCAAATAATCAGCAATCTCCCGCGGAGAACCATTAAGAGGAAATTTTCCCAGGTTATTTAGTTCCATCGCGACGCCAATTTGTAGTAATTTATTGTAATCGTAGTATTAGTATTTCAAGATGACCGAATTACGACAATCCAAACAAAACACAGAGAGGGCAGAACTCAGGAATTTGTATTTAGCGGAATTATTCTGCAATTCATATAAGAAACATATCAACAGTCAACAGTAAGTATTCAATTGAATTTTTGATTTTCCCGTCGATTGATTGGACCGAAGTGCTCGGTCTCAGGTTGACATGTCGGCTTCTTGTGCAGATGCTTTGACGATGTCTGGGGATTTGATTTGTATACAATTGGTGGATGGTGGCTAGCAGTGGAATCCAGGATGCGCATTTGGTCCTATTTGGGACTCGTCAGCAAACCAGATGTACCTGCATTTCTCAGTGAGTGATGATGTTCCCACCGAGGCTCGAACCCAGTACCCATAGTTTCAAACGCCAAAGCTGACGAGTCCCAAATAGGACGAAATGCGCATCCTGGATTCCACTGCTAGCCACCATCCACCAATTGTATACAAGTCAACAGTAAGTATTTAAACAATACAGAGATAGAAATTGTCAATCACCACAGATTTAGTGATATTCACAATAATGTAGACAAAAGGTTTCAACACATTACATGTGTAAGACTTGTCATTCTACAACTGTATCCTTCTGATTTACACAAATATGAACTACACATTAGGAATCAATAATACTGCTTCTTCTGTTGTAGTTTCCTCTGAAGACGAAGTCGTTAATGTTTGTGTTGAGTGAATACAGATACGTTTAATAATTTACTTTACAAAAGCCCCATTAACCTCTGTATAAGTTAGACTTAAATAAATATTTCTTACCTGAAAACAGACATGAAGGAAAAAGCTCTCTAGATTTTAGGAAAATAGGCAGTCATGATATTCTTGTACAGTTTTTAAAAATTAGACGGAATAAACATTAGTGCAAGAAAAAAGGCTTGCAAACACCCTCCTACTTATTGGAAATAATCTCTGTCAGCATAGTGTTTCATATTCATTTGAATTCGTCAGTTCAATAAGTGATGCCAATGTATCCGGAAGAAAATGATATCCATGGATGTTACGTTCCTTTTTACTAATGTTCCTTTCATTGAAACTATTTGCTTTATCTGCAAGTTCATCGAGGATAATAATCTGGACTTGGGTATTCCGACCCACTACTTAAAGGAACTACTATTGAAATGCACTTTCAATATCCAGTTCAACAACATGGTCTATAGAAAAGAAGATGGAATGGCAATAGGGTCGCCATTGGGCCCCTTAATTGCAGACCGCTTCTTGGTAAGTCTAGGAAATAGTGTGTTATGATCCACTATCGATAGTCTTCATATTTACCCAAAGACACATGGATCACTTTTATCTTATGTGATGAAAATGCCAGCATTGAAATTATAACTAACGAGTTCAACAACTGCCATCATGCTATCCATTTCACGTCGGAATTAGAGATGAACTCGGAATTACATTTTTGGGGTGTTTTCTAAAAAGGAGTTCTGACGGTCTTCTTCAAAGATCGATCTACAGGAAACCAACTCGGAATGGTGAATACACAATTTTTCATAGTTGGGTCCCTTTCAAAAGAAAGAGAAATCTGATCGACTCCTAATCCTCAAGAATAAGAAGGATATGTACGAGTGATACAATCGACGGGGAATTGGAGCGACTCAGACAAGTCCTCACGTAAAATGGATATCCTCCAAGATTCATCGAAAAAAAACATGACAGTAAAGAAAAAGCCCGAATGAATCCAGACGGTATCGAAGAAACTGCCATTTATGAACGTTGAATTTAAAGGTGACGACGCTGATGAGATTCTGAAGAAACGTTTATGTATATGACTGAGAAAAGCCTTCTTTGCGACTGGGCTACATATCATTTTCTACAACCGACAAACGATCAATGGATGTGTGGAGGATAAACTACCACTTTGGGCCACTTCAATGTGTGCTTACAAATTCACCTGCTCCTTTCGAGCTAGTCATATTAGCCGCACAAAGTGCACACTTTCCAAGCGCATCTCTGAAAATTATGCGGCGTGGTTAGCAGAAGGACAATACAAGATAGCCAATAGTTCAATTCTCGAGTACTTGGTGAATTCAAACGAAGTAGCTCCACCAGAGTTATCTTTCAAGATAACCTACAAGGAGAGGCCAAATGGTACAAAGGGCGTCAGGTTTCAGCATTTGTGTATGGTGGTGTTGGAAATTCGTCAATACAGCCGCGAACTCTGTATACAGGAAAAGTTTATCCAGTCTCTTATCCTGCCATAGTCTTAACCTCTTCACTAGTCGTTCCCTGTACATTTTTTATTTCGCTTTTACTCTAATAATTAATTCACTATTGTCACTCTCGTACGCTCCTTCTGTACATTTTATCGTCTTCACACTTGTTGAATTGACATTCATACGACCTCCTCACTCAATAATAATTTTGACTTTATTAAATTTCTAGCCCTTTCTTCCCTTGTGCCGTTGATTACTATGTAATTTACAACTTTTAGTTTTACTTCTAAAACCATTTTTGAGTAATTATATCAATTATGTCGCCCCCCCCCTATTACTCAGTAATGGACTACTACACATTTTTGGTAAATATAAATACGACTGTACAGCCTCTGAAGATGATTTCGTCGATAAAGAAAATTTTCTTCGTATACAAGCTGCATGACTCATTACCAGTAAATTGCACCAGTCGACCGTAACTCTAGTGATAGAGCTAGAATAAATTAGTTTATACTTTAATATATGTGTAAAACTTGGGCACTGGTAGTAAGTAATTCCATATTAGTTTGCTTATTAGATGTATCATACAGTTCCAACGGACAGAGTTGGAAACAGAATAAATCCAGTAAATAATACTGTTTCACTGTGTGATACATCTAATAAACAAACTAATATGGAATTAGTTTATACTTTCATTATAATTTTATGTCTTCCATTAGTTTTCTCCTTAGATGTCCAGTCTTTTAATTATACTGATACCTTTTCAATCCCAACTGATTGACGTTTCCACAGTTTCTGATTTTACGTAATGGCTCAACTCAATCCTGATAAAAGACTTTTGCGAATACTATAGGAAAAGCATCAGCGAAAGTACCACATTTGCTGTCAGTGTTCATACTCTCCCTTATCCTAGCCATTAACTTGTTTATTATTTCAATCAGGAAGATCCACAATACTGAGAAATCTTTACGTGTACCACTTAAACAACTAAGTTCATTATACTTCAATAATTCCTTCGCATGTATAGCCTAAAGGATTAAAAGGTTTGAATTCGTAAAGACCCTAATAAAGAACTAAATCCAACGGGATTCGTTTGTAATCTGTGACATTCAGGATCACGAAACTTAGTTACAAACAAAGTGCATGTGTTGGTATCGATTCAAGCACTTCTACGATAAAAACTATTTCCATTTATGTGGCCATTAGTATCATAATATAATACGAAAGTGACTTTATTGTGATCTCAGTATCTGAATTAATGACACTGGTAAAAATAATATCTCCGTAAACGATTGTAAAAATCCTTATAAATGTACATTCTCCTATCCGACCCTCAAGCTTACTAGAGCAGAAAAATATATAAACATATTGACACACATATTTGCTTGATCACTTCGATGCAACTGTGGACTCACTTCCTTCAAAAAGACAGAAGTCAAGTTGATGAGTTATTTTTCATCGAATCGAAGGCGTCTGTTCATTTAATGTGCTCCATAAAAATCACATAAAATCTGACATATATTGCTGATGGTTTTTAACATCCTTCGCTCTGAGGAAAGTCTCAATAGCCACTTATGCCACACTGTCACAGGCTAATTTTCTAAGACAGCCTCTTTATCACGCAAATCCCTATCTATCTATTTACACATAACTCCAAAACAGGTCTAGGACCAAATACTAACACATGTACTACAAGAAAAAACTATCGATACTGTGTTGATGCTGAGATGTTAGGTTCTACTGTCACCTCATAATTCGCCTCAGTTATCATCCATGTGAACTTTCCTCACAGAAGTCATTCATGCATGCTTCAACATATCATACTCCTTTGTTACAAATTGGTAAAATATTTATGCACTCATACAGTAATACAGAATTATTCACCTACAGAGGCATTAACACACTGATGAAAGTCTCTTGAGAGAGGATAGGTTGCATAGAAAGGCTAGTGTATGCTTTGACAATGCGCTAAGCTGTTCTTTCGTTGTAATCCATCCTTAATAAAAACCAACTAACCTTCAAAATCCCCAATGCAGTTTTCAGTAAAAAAACAAAAAATAACATTAAATAGTTTATTATTCAGGTTTTGTGCAGCTGATTAGAAACCTATGAAATGAAATGGCCTCATCTTATCCTACAGAAGTTATTCTTATTGCGTTGTTTAAAGACAACATTGTTTTTATGGACTGAGAGAATCCCATTAACCAGTTGGGAACTATAAATATACATACAAATCAAGAGATATCAGAGACATGACACAAGAGAACGAGAGAGTGACTCAAGCCAAAATCACAAACACCATTGTAAATACACCTCTAGATAGAGTACTATAATTAAAATAAAATTATGGAATAAATATTTAACAGTCAGTTTAGAAAAATTAATATCAGTGAAAAAAGATCTGTTATCAAAAGAAAACAACAGATGAAAGATTTTTACATACAGTTTCACGTGAACCTGAGCAATCAATACATAAGTTAATGTCATACAAGGTATTAAAGATGTGTTTCTAAGCTATTGGAAATATTTGTATCCTTAGAAGTCTTAGTTCTTGATCTCCATGACTTAATAAGTGAAGGCCAGAGGAGTTCCGCTTCGTAACAAGCAGGGCATGGGGCAGATAATGGTATTAAGTATGAAATATGTTTCTGATAAGAATGAGATGAAGGCGAATCGCTAGTTGAAGTCATATAATTTGCTAGACACAACAAGTGCCATTGACCCAGGGGGCAAGACGCAGGACAGATAAGTGGCAAAGAAGAATCAACCTGCATACACAAAAAGCGGAAAAACAATCAATAAGATACCAAGGAAATGACAAAAAAATTTTGGCTGTGATCTTTCCTATCATTTAAGAAAAAACAAGGTACCATAAATCAAATTCACACTTTGCAATTCACACAGTTAGAGTGGTGAAATCTTGCCGTAGTTTCCTTTGGAAACCAAGTTTCTTCGTCAATTTGGCTGACGAGCACTGCTGGCTGATATGCGTGGTATGCAACTCATATCAATTAACCAGTAGTAAGTAGTTTTAAAATAAAGTACCCCTGAAAATGTTTGTGGTGAGATCTCTGTAGTCCAGTAACACTGAAAACACAATTGATTACTTCAACCTACATTACCCATTATAATGCAACTAGTGTAGAAATGCACTATTTATTTTATAAATAGGCTACCATTCGTGCTGATATGATTCCTCTGAAATAAACTGTATAAAAATTGAACGAAATTTTAACACTGAATTACAGCCATAACGTAAGTCACAAATCAGTGGTCAATTAGATTTGAGCGCTTTTCAATAGCACACAAAAAATCATAATAGAGAAGAATATATACTCGAATTAGCCTTTCACATTCACTGTTAACATTTTTTATCCATGGTAGTGAAAATGCACAATTACGACCGATATCTACATTGAAAAGGTTTACTTCCATCGAAACAGTCAAAGAAAAAGTAATGATCCTGAGAAACCTGACTCAGTTTCACGCACTAATCTATGAAGCAATTAAAGAATCGTCATTCTTGGAAATCGTCTCCCTTGCCAGATCTCCTTTACAACCCGTATTATTGACGAACATAAACATTTGTCGAATATTGCCTACTGCAACTGAACTGATCTATGAATCATGATATGAAAAAGAATACTTTACTGCTGATGGAGATAAAATTAACTGAAGAGGGTCTTGAACCATAGTCAAGTCAGTCAGTTAACAACCTATTCGTACATTTCGGAAGCCATTAACTTCCTATACAAAGCCATCTGCACCTAAAGTCACCAACGAGTTCTAACTAAGTGATAAACTAATGAGGAACCTTGTACAAAAATGCAACATTTCCAGATGTCATATTTAAAAACACTTCACACATGTGTGAAAGGAAAAACGGTGTAATGAAGCATAATGGAAGTGTTCAGCATCTCGAAGAGTAAATCACTTTTAGTACTGAGTGGTGTTTAGCTTTATAATCAAAAGTCGTCGACCACTAATACTTAAAAACTCCAAGATGTCAATTAGGCAGTTGACGTTACATTTTGATCTGACTGCCCTTGACTCCTTCCTAATTCCATTGTAGCCAATAATGCTGGCAAGGTAGGCGGTGGTTTGAGATGCTCATTTGATGAACGACATCTTAGCATAACCCTGTTATTACTTAAATTGGGTCAATAAGTTAGACAATCCCTGTAAGGTAGGAGTTGGTGCAAATCAGTTTTGAAGCCACCTCTACAAACTGATTCGAGTGAGATGTATCCCACGTCGAGATGGAAAACACAAAACACGAAAACCATGAAAAGACTTCGTACGTAACAAGAGTAATAGACTGAATAACTGAATGATTAGTTTTATTCTTCTCAGATGACTAGTTCGTGCATGACTATCAGCTTTCGGTCGCTAGACTCAACATCCAATTGTTCCTAAGAAATTAAATAAATTCATATGTAATCAACTCTGTCTTATACCGACAATTAAGGAAATTTTATTAATTCGACCTTAAACTACTTATTCACCTTGAGCATATCTTTCTGCCTAGTTATCTAAATGTTTTAGTGTACTTCTCAAGCAGACCACTACCTCAAGAATTGATTTTCTTAGGCAGATACTGCACAGAAACTCTTATGACATTAGGTACATCTTAGTAAAGTAATAAAGGAAATTCACAGTAAAGAGGAGATAAAAAAACAAAGAATTGTAAAAACTATTCCGTGCTGAGAAAGAGACAGAACGGTCGAGCAACCATCACGAAAAAATTCTAAAGGACTAGACGGTGGCATTCGTTTTGCTGTTGCAAAAACAGTGCACTGGAAAATTCATAGGGTATCAATTGATAATTAAATACGCAAGACCGAAACCAGAGAAAACTTAGCATTATTTCTTTTTGAAAAGATACGTAACGACAACCAGATCTTGTTACAAGTACATTATGAAAAGACCCTTGAGTAGCTGTTACTGACTTACTACAAAGTCAGCTTATCTTGTGAAAACGCTTTGACAAATAAATTGATGACTTGAAGCAAAATTTACTCAGTAGTTAAAAATGTAGACTTACTGAAAACGGAACACCACATAAATGGCATAGTCCAGAGACTTTACTGGTAGTACTGGGTTTGTCCACACAGTTTGCTTCTACTGGTCCGAAAGCGATTGGCATATGTAAAGGGGGTACCAAATTTTCTGACAAGTTTCGTGCATAAGACTGTTTTAACCACTGGACAGTCAAGCCCAAACGATTCCAAGGTCCGCTGCACAGCATTAATGCAAGAACTCGCAAACGGTAGTCAAAACTAGATTCCCTTGGCTTTTTAACTGGAAGCGAGTCTTTTAATCGACGTGATAACTTTGGATTCTGCCAGGCCCATTCGAACTGCGGGTAAAAATACACTAAATTACCAACCGCTAACTAACGTACCCTTAAGGCAGATATTGCGTTCGGGAATCCATGAACAATTAAAACCATTTCCCTGAAAGGCTTTAAACCAAACTGACACTACTAACCAAGGTCCTTTTCCGCTTGTTGACTTTGCTCCGCCTTTTAAGCAACCAGAATTATGTTGTCTTATTCGTCTCTTAGGATTAACTGTGAAACCGATGTAGGTTTTACCACGAAACTTTGGATTGAGTGATAACAAGATATAACATCCATAGAAAAAATACTGGATATCATCCTCTTGAACATCATCATCATCATCGTCAAAGCATTCAAAACCGTCCATTATAGTCTGTAATATAAAGAGGGAAATGCAACATCACTCTTACAGCCTTAAATGAAGTGTATTCAGCTACATTTTCGCATGATTGAAAAATAAGTTATTAGAGTGTGGAACATATAAGAATACGACCTGAATCAAACAGTAGTTAATTGAAGGTCTGTCTGCCAGTAGTCTAAGTACGGCAAACCACATCATATACTGCTGCCACTCCACTCAAGTAACAGCATAATTTCCTAAAGTATTTTTTATCCAACAGAGAATATGATAGAAACCAGCCTCATCCTTGATTGACTCAAAATGGTATCTTAGTTATCAGGTACTGCGATCTGAAGAGGGATTATTAAATTTGCAGCTTCCAACTCTAACAGTCAGATAAAAGTTCTCTTAGAAGGTTTTAACATATAGTAAAAACCTAGTGTTGAACACACAAGCTTTCCTCCTACTTACCTACTACAACAGAACTGGACAGTGACACTAAGACGGTTCATCTCCTGTTAAAGTTATTTAAACGAAACAGTATGTAATGGCAATCTAGGAAATTTTAACAGTAGCAGAGTGGTTTTAGAACTGTGAGTGTTTCTGTAAGCCATGTGACACGACAGTGGATATTTCGAACTTTTCACATAAGTCAGCTGCTACTTTGAAGTGATGGTCGGATTTGTATATCACAAAGAGCCACACTAGCTGGAACTAACGTTCCTGCAGGTCCTACCAGGCCACAAAAGGTCGTTTTGACAGCGGTAGTTGCATGGAATATATCACCGTGATATTGGCTACCAATTACACCTCGGTTTCTCAGGAGGATTACTTCATACTGCAGTAGATAGACGAGTGAAATACAATTATCCATTATCAATAAGCAGATGGTCTTAAGACACTAAATGAAGTAAGTGAAATTGTGCTCTGGTGAATCTGCTGCTCTTATCTATTAGCAAGGATACTTTGATTTGACAAGTTCCCAATAATACATATATGTTTTCTTTCAAAGTTTCTTTGCTACACTGTGCCACCACATTAGAGTGGATAACATGTCCAACTTCTTAACTCCACTTAATTTTTGTAACATAATTGTTGATTCTAAAAAAATCCCGGCAGGATGTGTTCTAGCAAATGTAAACAGAGGGCATCTTTCGAAAACTCACAAGTTGAGACAAAAATGTTTACCGACTACACACAGTGTAAGTTCGGGAATATTTATAGCAAACTGACAAACCCACATGTACCTAGGTTAATTATAATTCATAAACTAATTGATAATTAATTGCGTATACACGTATACACATTTACTCAAAATGTCATAAAGATTATTTGTACTATTTAAAGAACAAAATGTTATAAAACCAGTATCAAGTAATATAAAACGCAGTCCTTAAGATGATAAAACTAATCAAAGAGAGAAAATATTGTAAGATGCAATCATGCTAACATTTGTATCAGTTAAGTAGGGACTTGTTCGCAATTTTTTTGTCTTCTCGAAAGACAATGAAGTGAAAACCTTAAGGTGAATGCATTCAAAATTTAGAATTGGCACACCATTGTTTGGATATCCGTTAGGAATGAGTGATAACGATTTTGTTAAGTTCGGATTCAAAAAGTGCTACGGGAAAAAGTAGAAATACACAGTAACCTGAAGGCTGCTCACTATATGTATAATGATGTCAACAAATTTCTCAAACAGAATCAATTAAGTAGTCTGAAAAGGTAGGCCCGAACACATTAAAATTTCAGCAATGAAAATTATGAAGGCCCACTCAGGTAAAATGAGGAACAGAGTGTTAAAATGGGCGACAAAAGTTGGAAGCTCGATAGGTAAAAAGGGGAAATAACGGAGACTTTGTAACTAAACCACCCCCCTTTATGAGGTTGCACAATGTCTATTTTTCCGCACTAATTGCACGCTTTTTGTCGCCACTATGTTTTCTTTAAAAAAATTTGTTTCTTCATTTCGTCGTTAATGTCTAGTTTTTTCTTCGCCTTATTTCTCAATTCAAAAATATTTTCCTCTTTTTGCCGCCTATTTTCGATTTATTTCTCGCTTTAGATAGGTTTCTTCCTTTTTTTTCAGTCTAATCAGAGAAATGTCGCCTTTTTTCCACACAACTACCTGATTTGGGGACGATCTGCTTGGGTAGCTGATTAATGAATCATGATGTTAACATCAAGGTGGTGGAAAAGGAGGCATTTAAGCTAAATGTCCCCAGGAGTTTTTAACTCAGTTGCCCCTGAAACGCTCAAATAATTCTTTCGGTCATGCTCGACAAAGCCTTGACATAGTCTTTTTCAAATTGTGAACCTACACTTCTTACGAATCTGATTGGTCCTTAGAGGTAGTTTCGTTTTCGGCTGCTATAGTTTTGAGCCACCCGAATAGCGAGTCACTGTAATTGTTACAGGATAAGTAATGATATGATCACATAACAGCAGTTGTAAAACGAGGCAACGGTAAAGAATAGACACCAACTTCAGACGACCTGGAAACACCCAATCAGATCCTTCTAGGTGAAAAGTGGAACCTAATTTACAAAGAAATGTATCTACGATTCTAAGTCCTGTGTTGTATGAGTGAAATCTTCTACGACTTTAACACCGGTATGCCTCACGGTTTGCACTCAGTTGCGGTGGTGTGAAACTATACAGCCCAAATCAAGGTCGGCAAATGTTGACCTCCGAGAAGTAATGGATCTAGGAAAAATCACATGACGAAACCTGCTTGCTTTTGTGGATTTGGTGAATGTATTCCTTGAAGAACAGGTAAATCTACGCTGTTAATGGGTGTTATGGGCCAAATTGACGAATAGCGGTCTAAGAGTGAGAACGTATCAATGACCATAAACTCAGACTGCTCACTGTATAACGTCAGCTAACATTAGGCTAATATGAGAGATGCGCAATTATTTTGGCGCAGATTTCACTTCGACCTCGATTTTAAGTATTATTTGCATCAAGGATCGGTAAATGGTTAAGGTTAAGGGTTGTAGCGGTAGGTAATTCTCAGAATTATAGGCCACAGCATCCATCGCTGAACAATGGAAGCTGACCCTGACTGCTTAAGTCAACTCCCTTGTGACAAGCCCAACAAGCAGCACATAAGCCTAAAAAGAACTTCGCACGTATTGCGGCGGGTCCCATAAAGGAGACGGAAAACCAGAGTGAAAGTGCTCCTAGTCGAAATAAGAGTACTAGATGGACTGAGGACAACAGGCTACGCGAGGTGGGGACTAACAGCCAAAATAGCTTTATCCACACAGTAGACATGCAAAGGGCGCCGAGCTGACTAAACAGCAGAGTGATACCCACGATTTCCATAATAGCCGAGGATGTAATATGCCTATAGGTACATATAACCTGAGAACGGGACCCATAATTAATAATTGAAACACATGGCCTACTAGACGGGACACCACTAAATACCATATCAACGGAAATGTATTTTCGAACCCTAATAGTAGTTACGTAAAGCTCCACCGGTATAACAGGTATAGTTTGGCTCACGGTCCTTCTATGTACAACTACGAAAAACCTAGCACGCACTACCCTCAAAACAACCCAAATTCAGGGTACTTCGGCCCTGTTAATTACAATCTTAACTGTGAAACAGATTATCTAATGCCGAGAAATGATCCCAGATACCCACGTAATGAGGCCAGAAACCAATACATGCAACAGGATTATTTTCGGCTTCAGCAGAAAATAGCCCCTCTCGCAGCACAGTTTGTCCAAGGGATAGTCAACATGCTGACACTGTCTCATCTGAGAATCTCTCCGAACATCACACAGGCAACCAGGCAACTATCCTCCCAACAAACATGGTTATCTGAAAATTATGCTATTAAATGCTCGACCTCTCTTTAACAAAATAACTTCACCTCGCAGCTTGGTACACATGAAGCGACCAACACTGATTCTGGTAACTAAAACATGGCTTATTACTTAAGTCAATGTAGTTGAAGATTGAACGATCAATTCTCGGGTGTTTGCTCAAAACCAACTTCCCCAATTTTCGCGGAGGCATCAATGCGACAGTCATCGTCTCATCGGTCGCTGTTCAGAAAGAAGAGTGAAACATCGTCAGAAGTAATACTATGATTTATTATAGTAATATTTGTTCACAGACCTTAGTTGTAACAATGTTTATATAATAATAATAATATATATTCTCATTTTTTACATGAGGGACACCAGTTTACAGGCATCATCAATTCGATAGTTTACACATAATATTAATAAGCATATTTAGTAAAGATAATATAACAAGGTACATTTATTTCCCTAGCTATGTAGGGTACACCAATTGTATAGGCATGCATAAATATTATTTTAATAATAATATATTCCTTCCTGTTTATACAGGAACATACCTATTGTACAGGCATGGATAAGTTATTATATAAATTACACATAATTTGATGTATAATGGACTTACAGTTTGGTTGTTCTTTCTGACATTAGAGTCGGTCGGAACAGTCTGCTATAAAGTCTGTGTAGCACATAAAGAGATATAGAAATATTGTCTTCGCATTAACAAAAACCCAAGACATCAGATGAATGTAATACAGATATATGGGAAAAATAAAGCTGGAAGTAAATTCTCTTATATAACTTTGCTGTGAACAGCACCCTTGGCTTAAAGATTATTGATGCATTATGTTGAGATCAGTGATATATTTATTCCATTTTTCAGCAGTCTTATCGTAGTTTCATAACAGGAAAGAAATTTGATCGTGGAGGCGAAAATTAGATAAGGTCTTTTCGGGTTGTTTTACTGTTGGTGTAACAATAAAGAAACCTCGAGTGGCCAATCGGTGTTTTGGTTTTTGCGTCCGTCATTACTAACAGTTTCTGAGAAACTTCAAGGAACAGCGTGAGCCCGAGCGTAGCAAGAGCTGGGCATTAACGGTTTACGAGACGTGGCTGACAGTTTCTGACGGTGAAGTCAGATATGAAAGGTTTTGGACCGTTGGTGTCAGTTTGGATAGTTACCGTTCATCTTACCTGGTGCCGGT